GGGTTGAGATTCGTCACAAACAGATAGCTTAGATCGCTTCCCACTATTTTGACTACCGTCTTGACACTATAAAATAGACTCTTTCACCCTCAGTTCACCCTTACTTGAAAATTATTTGCCTGAGCTTATTTGGTTGTCATTTCCATTTGTATTTGCAAACCCTTGTTCACTCTTTTCACGGTGACTTTTTGGCGAACCTCTTTATCATCTACTTACAAGTAAGTGTTCTACACTTGTTTTCTCCGGTTTCTTTGTTTGAGTTCTTGAGTTTTTTTTGTTGGGATGGCCATTGCCATGGCCTAGTTAGTTCTAGGGTTTAAACCCACTAAGTTGGGTTTTAAGAGCATTTAGACAAGCGCTTGCTGGAATCCTCCACCAAAATTCTTGGTTGGCTGTTGGGAATCGTTAAAGTTCGCTTGTGTTTCTGGGTTTAGCTTTAGGTTAGTTGCATTCGAGCTTTCTGGATGCCTGAACTGAAGGCAAGCACATATAGGTCACTTGTCATAACACTTGTTTCTTCTTGTTTCAGGTATCCAAAAGCAAGCTAACCAATCATGTTGTCCCCTGACCTCAACATTAAGAGACTATTCGAAGAAGGCTCCCTAACAGTTTTCGCTGATTATGGGGAGAGAGCTCAAGAAGAGCTCGGTATCGAAGACTTTAAGAGGAGCATAGGTAGTGGGATTGAAATCTCGTGGAACATGAGCAAGGAAGCCACTGGTGCGAGGATCTCGTAATTAGTTAAGTTTAGGACAGATCCAACTTCATCGATCATCTTAGAGGACCTTAAGTGCATCAGAGAGAGTTATGTGGCCCAAAATTCTCTTCACGTTCCAAAAAGTTCTTGACAAAAGATCCCCTTAAAAACTGGGTGGCTATCTCTGAGACCTTTTGGGGTGTGGCATGTCCATCCCACCTTATACCTTTATTATCGACGTTGTGAATCGTTTCAATGTCACTCCTCTTTAGTTGATAGGGAACTCGTACATAATTATAGTAGGTATGTACATAGCTTACATGTTGAATGAAATTGGCGAGCTAACTTTAGAAAAGCTCATCTACCTGTATAGAAAAAAAAAAAAAAAAAAAAAAAAGTCAGGACCAAGCCTATTATCATTCCAAAGCGAGAAAGACCTATTTAAATGGATTGGTTGGAGTCCCCAAGAAGCTTGGAAATTGGGATTCCGAATATTTTTCCTACTTTTCTAGGGGTAACGGCTCTTTTGCAGATGAAGCTTGTAGGTATCCTTGTCCTTCTGTTGTGGTTAAGTATCCACTAGTCGATTGCTAATTATGTTTTGTCTTTCTTTGTAGAGAACGTCGACCAAAACTTCATTGGAGAAGACTATAGGAGGCAATTAAGAATTTTCAACGACCTACTTGAAAGTCATCGTGACGTGACCAAACTAATCATCCTTCCTCGCCTGATTGAGTTTGGGTTTTGTCCAGGTTTTGCGAATTTTTGGACTATCTTTAAGAAAGGTAGAAGCATATACTAACTCGCTTTCTCATGTATTCCCCTGTTTCCCTTTATAAAGCGTTGATGTGTTTTCTGTTCTTGTAGAGATGTATGCCAAGAAACCCAAAAATTACAAAGAGAAAATCTTGGCCAGTGCTACTGCGAAGAAGCAGACTGTAGCTTCTACTCAGTCGAGCAAGGTTGAGCCAAGGTCAACCTCTCAGCCTGCTGTCAAAAGGACTGGGGTTGAGCTTGAAGAGGCTCCAAGCTAGAAGAAGCTTGCAACTAGCCCCAAGGAAGTTGCAAAGAAAACTGCCCCCGAGCTCTAGAAGAGCTCGAAGAAAAAAGTTGCCAAGCCTAGGGAAGGCTTGGGGAAGAATGTTGTCAAGCCTAGGGAAGGCTCGAAGAAGATAGTGGTGGATTCTTGTATTTTAGCTGGGACTTAGCCAAAAAGAAAAAAGTTTCGATGGCTAAGGCTACTGGCCAATAAGTGGCCAAAGATTTTTGTCGCAAGGGCATGGCGATGAGGAAGAAGCCAAAGAGCTCGAGGCTAAAATAGACAAGCTGCCAGAATACATCGCTATGAGGGCTTCCACTGTAAGGAGTGCAAGGTCTGAATGGCTTTATGGCGTGTAAAAAGTGTTGCGCTCACATGAAAGGTTTTCTTGCACCATGGGCACTATCACGAGGTTAAATTAGCTCGTTTCTCCCATTTTTTATTATTTTCTTTTCCAAAATTATTCAAGCTTTCTTTTTCTTCCTTTCAAGCTTGCATGTTGGTCTAACTTCTCTATCATGAAAACTTCGAAATGTTTGAAAATTCGTCCATAGCTCAAGAAGAAATGATGAAGCTTAGAGAAGAAATGTTAGAGAAGACATGGAAGCTAGAGGAGGAGAACAAGGTGTTGAGAGACGAGTTTAATCAGCACAAAGTAGAGCAATCCAAAGTCTTGGCTCTCAAGCAAAGAGAGTTTGATGATAAGCTCTCTCAGGTGGAGGCAGCTAAGGGCTCGGTGACCAAAGATCAAGACCATCTACAAGGTTTCAACAACAAACTAACCTCCGAGCTTATGGAGCTTACAGCTACTCAAGCCAAGGTTGGGGACTTGGAGAGCCAACTAATAGATTGAGATGTCGAATTGTTGTAGGCTCGAGAGGATTGTAAAGAGGCCTCAGTGAACGTCACCATTCTAAAAGATGAGGTAGAGGCAGTAAAAACCGTCGGCAAAGAGCATGCTTGGGAGACATCAGTCAATTAGGTCAAGCTCATGCGGGAGAGCAATCCCTCATTTGACTTTTCCTTCCTCCCTGCTGAGTATCAAACCAGGGTCGAGAGGATGAAGGCTAAGGCTGTGAGGCTGGAGTTCGTTTACTTGGACAGCTCTAAGTCCGACGAAGGTTCGGATGGCGAGGCTGAGATCGAGGAAGAGAAACATGTGATTGAGAATGTTGGCTCGCCTGCTCCATCCTCGGCCCTAGCTAAAGTTCCCAAGGCCATCAAGGACGCTTGTAATGATTCTCTTTCTAGCTAGTATACTCATAAAATAACAGTAAAACTCACTAAATATATATAAGAAAATATATACATATAAACGAGTATAAAATTATGGGCCCATATTTAATTTTCTTTCTATATAAAACTTTACATAATATAATAAAGTCTCAAAATAGTAACTTGACAGTTTTGCCCAACCCTTTCGTTGCATGATATTCCAAGTGACCACATCTCACCTGTTACCTGCAAAAACATTGAAAACAACGGGGTGAACACTAATTGCTCAGTAAGTAAACCCGCTATGCTACCCTTCTCTCTTTGTTGCTTAAATTCTGAATTTCTTTCCTTACTTCACATTTCCCCATTCTCCTGTATTCTTTCTCTACTCTTACTCTGTTTTTCTCTCTGTTCTTTCTTTATTCTAATTTCCCACTACTCAGATAATGGGCATGGTATTATGCATATGTATAATGCAAATGCACAAATGTATAAAATATGCATTTTCTTTTCTATTCTTCTTTCTTTTCTGTTTCTTTTCCCTGTATTTGTTTCTTTGCTTCCTTTTCTAGTCTTTCTTTTCTCTGTATTTGTTTCTTTGCTTCCTTTTCTAGTCTTTCTTTCTTTTTATTCTTTCTTTTCTTTTCTGATTTTTCTTTTCTTTTCTTCTCTTATTCTTTTATTTTATTTTATTTTCTTATTCTTTTGCCGATCGAACTCGGTTGAGGCATGGATTTGGAACCTTGGTCATGTGAGTGTATTCTTCTTTCTTGGGTATAGCCCTCATTCACATGCACTCTTACGGACTGTACAAATTCTTCTTTCTTCTTCTTAGGCCACTCACTAAAGGCGGCCTGCATGTGGGGAAAATTCTTCTTGTCACTCACGGTTCCCCATCGCAACAACCTTTTCTTCTTTTTGTCTTTTTACACTTCTTTAAATAAAATTCAGATTTGGAACTTTTTTAATATTCTCATTTCTTTCTATTTACTCTTTAACATTCTTTAGTGTTTTTTCATGCTCTTATGAATATGTATGCATGTAGATGGTTTTATGCTTATAATTCTTTCTAAATTCACATGTATAAATGCAATTATGCAATATGGAATACAAACATGTCATTCTCTACCATCTACAAACTCATCTCAATATAACACATAATCATACTCATACAAACACTTCTCTTTGACATTTCATCAAACAACTTATGTACACAGCGCAAGTCTAATTTGGCTACACTTCTACCTCTTTTCTAAGCCATAAAAAATTGGGAATAAAACGCTCCATATTTAATGCCAAATCTGCCCAAAATATACACTCCAAAATTTCTACTCAAATTCTTCCAAATTTTATCCAAACATTCATCAAACATTAGTTGGACTTTGGTACATAATCACAAAAATTACGTGATATAAATCATATATGATTGCAATCGCAAATTTATCTCACTTACCATTTCAAAAATTTTGTATAAATACCCCCACAAAACAATGTAAAGAGGTTGAGATTTTAGAGAGTCAGAGAGCATATTTTGTATTCCATCAAAGAAGAACAACAAGAACAGTGGATGTAGGTTTGAGAAATAACTCACTAAACTATTTTTAAAACTGTTTGTGTCATTTTCATTTTCTTTTGGTTTTGTTTCACATTCATTGTTGATTTTAATTAACCACACACACATTTGTTCTGATTTCAATATGTCCAATTAGATCCCTCTAATTGGTGCCTTTTTTCAATATCAACAATTGTCTCAGATTTTTTTTCTCTAATTAGTTCTTTTGCAAATTAGAGATGTTATTATTTTATTTTGCTGACTTGATTTCAATAATCTTGTCAATAGATATATCTAATACATCAATTTTTTTTTTTTTTTTTTTTTTTTTTAAATTTCGCCTCATACCTCTTTACATTATTGAGCCGGCACCGATGGGGAATCGGGCTCCTCACGCAACTAATTGGGCTGTCAAATAATGCTTCACGGGTCACTCGGCCCAGGCTCAAGAAATCCGAAGAGATGTAGGTGTAGGAACACTATATCAGCCCTCACTCGCAACATCCGATACTCAACCCTAGAAACTCGCCTCCTCTCTGATCTGTTTGGTAACCGAGAAAATAATACAAGCAATTCCCACAACCAACAAAATCTCGATCAATGGCTCCTAAAACTAAAGAAAAACCAAAGCCTGCGCCGTCGCAGCCACCACCTGCCATCGAAGACCTATTCACCTCGCTTAACAGACATATTGAGCGATCTAAATTCAAACAATCCGTCGAAGTCGAGCGATCTTATCTCGAACAAGCCGTCAAAGTCGCAGATCAAGGTACGGTTCTCAAGCTTTCAGGCAATTCATTTCTTTTTTATTGTTTAACATGTTATGTTCTCTTATTTATCGAAACGCTGCATGTAACTGTTTTGCAGTTCTCTTAATTGCGCCTGGCGATGAGGACGCAATGCGGTGCAAAGTGGTGGCTCTGATAAGGGCGGACGATATTGATGGAGCTCTCTCTACAATTCAATCGTCTCAGAAGCTCCCTATTTGCTTTCGTTACTTCAAGGTTTTTAATTTTCTAAGTGTTTCGTGCTGTGCTTATCTTATTACTTATAATTCGCTGCCATGGTCGATTCTTGACATATTGTGTTAAAACGTGGTTGATTTTTAGAGAAAATTTTTAATTGCATTTGCATGCTAGCTGCCATGATAGAATATTTATTTATTTTATTTTCTGAAGTTCGTTCAATTTTCGATGATATTTTGCATGACATCGTTGGAATGCATTTTCTCCTTTAATTTGGGTCCTTCACTAATGGCGTGAGATAATACATCTATTTTTCTTATATTGCCTCTACGTTTTCTGAATTGTTACATATTTTCTTAGTTAATTTTGGATGATTTGTGGCTGAGTTAGATGCTTCTAAAGTGGACATAAACTTTTCATGTTGATTTTAATTTTCCTTCTGCTGTTTCTAAATAGGCATATTGCCTATACAGGCAAAACAAGTTAGATGAAGCATTGGAGTTATTGAAAAACCAAGAAAGCACTTCTGCTGCCACGCTCTTGAAATCTCAGATTTTATATCGTTTAGGAGAAATAGATGCCTTTGTAGATATATATGAGAAGCTTCAAAAATCCAAGATTGATTGTTTAGAAATAAATTTTGTGGCTGGTTTGATTTCGGCCGGAAGGGCTTCTGAAGTGCAAAAAACACTGGATGGACTTAGGGTGAAAGCAACTAGCAGCTTTGAATTGGCATACAACACAGCTTGTTCTCTAGTTGAAAGGAATAAGTACTCTGATGCTGAACAACTCTTGTTGGCAGCCCGAAGGTATTAAGGCACTGTTATCATGATGGGTATTTTCTCTTTTTTGACAGTATATTATTTGTTACAGAACTGGAACTTTATGAATATACAGTATTAATGTTTCTAGTTTTGCATTAGTCTTCAACCTTATATTAATAGTATTTTAATTATACAGATGACAATTTGACTGTGAATTCTGTACAAGTGTGAAAGTCAACTTATGGATATTTAGTTGATTTTAACCATTTTTAAGTAAGAGAGTGTCTATGGAGGTAATTTGAGATCAATGTCAGAAGTGCAAACTTTTGATGCAGCTCTTCTTAGCAAACCCTTCATTAGATGTCATGTTATCTGATTGTTGTTTATGAAAATAACTCAAAATGGAGTCCACAACTTCTTGTGTTAGTTTCCAGTATGCTATCTTCAATGAGCTTGATTTGTCATGAAATTTAAATGTTCATAAAGATGTTTCCCTTTGACATCTACTTGAGCTTCATTCATGGCATGATAGGTTTGGACATCGACAATGAAATTTCACACTGATGCTGAGTTCATGCCATAGAAGAGAGTTCACAACTGTCTTATAATTTAGCATCAAATATTTACTTTAATTGATCACTTATTTGGGCTTCATCATTTTTGGGTATTTTTTTTTGGTTTTTATTGGCATTGCTGAGTGCACATTGACATTTGTTTTCATACGAAAGGATACACCTAATTTTAACTGAAAAAGTTGGATGATTTTCTAAGCGAGAATTTTCTGAGGTTTTGAAGCTACTCAATTCATATGGACCTTTTCTGTCTGTTATAATTTTATTTATTTTTTGTCTTGCTTGTCATAAATTTTTGGCTGGTAGCTTCTATTTTCTTGTACTTCATGTGTGAGTCGTTAAAGTTTAGAACTTCTTGTAAAGGTGAGACAGTTGAACTCTATGGACACTGATTTACTATTTTTGTCAGAATTGGTCAGGAAACACTGACTGATGAGAACTATGCTGAGGATGAGATAGAGACTGAATTGGCTCCTATAGCTGTCCAATTAGCGTATGCTCAGCAGGTAAAATAACTGCATTGTGCAAATATTGTACTGTTTTAATTTTTTTAATGTTTCCCTCCATTTTTGCGATGGGAGTTATACAATGGTCAGTAATGCAAATTAGCTTCTTTAATCAGCTCCTTGGAAACAAACAAGAGGCTATTGGAGCTTATGCAGACATTATCAAACGAAATCTGGCAGATGAATCATCACTTGCTGTGGCAGTGAACAACCTCATTGCACTAAAGGGTCCAAAAGATGTTTCTGATAGCTTAAAGAAACTTGATCGCATCAAAGAGAAAGGCATGCAAAACTTTCAGCTTGCTGGTGTGCTTGAGTTGAAGCTTTCATCAAAGCAAAAGGAGGCAATATATGCAAACCGAATGCTTTTACTTCTTCATGCAAATAAGATGGATCAGGTATACTACTGGGGTATTGCAAATTTCTCTCTGATTTGTCCCATTTTTCTTTTACTTCTATGAGCAAACTCCGCTGCTTCAAGATTCCTGGTTACCTGATGTCTTATACGTTTCATTGCTGCAACTTTACAGGCTCAAGAACTTGTTGCCACATTGCCAGACCTTTTTCCTGGCAGTGTGATGCCAGTATTGCTTCAAGCTGCTGTCTTAGTGAGAGAGAAAAAGGCTGCAAGAGTTGAAGAAATATTAGGGCAGCATGCTGAGAAGTTCCCTGACCAGTCCAAAGTTGTTCTTCTGGCAAGGGCACAGGTTGCTGCTGCTGCCAACCATCCTCATATTGCAGCCGAGTCCCTGGCTAAGATACGTGATATCCAGCACATTCCTGGTACTGTGGCCACCCTTGTGTCTCTTAAAGAGCGTGCTGGAGATATCAAAGGTGCAGCAGCTGTGCTTGACGCTGCAATCAAATGGTGGTTAAATTCCATGACCGAGGACAATCGGCTAAGTGTTATAATGCAGGAGGCTGCTTCCTTCAAGCTCAGACATGGCCGAGAGGAGGATGCCTTCCATCTCTATGAGGAGCTTGTGAAAATGCATGGAAGCATTGAGGCATTGGTTGGGCTGGTCACTACAGCTGCTCATATGGATGTTGACAAGGCTGAGGCTTATGAGAAGAAGCTGAAGCCGTTGCCTGGTTTCAAGGGGGTTGATGTGAACAGTTTGGAGAAGACTTATGGTGCAAAGCATGTTGAAGGCGCTGCTCATGTTGTCCCTGAAGTACATGAGGAAGGAAGGAGGGAGAAACCAAAGAAAAGGAGAAAGAGAAAGCCAAGGTACCCCAAAGGATTTGATCCTGCCAACCCTGGTCCTCCACCAGACCCAGAAAGGTGGCTCCCCAGGAGAGAGAGGTCAAGTTACAGGCCTAAGAGAAAGGATAAGAGAGCTGCCCAAGTGAGAGGCTCTCAGGGTGCAGTTGTTAGAGACAAACATGAAGCTGGTGCCTCAGGTACTAATTCTAATCCTTCCAATTCAACATCAAGCCAAGTTATTAGTGCCAAAGGAGCTTCACAGAATGCTGGACAGCAATCCAAGGCTTCATCCAAGTCTTCAAGAAAGAAGTCTAGGAATTAATTAACCGGGAAGGAACCATAATTTTAGTTAAATATTTTCACATTTTACTTTGCATGTGTGTTGTCTTTACTGAACTGAGATTTTGACATGTAAGTTTTTGGCCTCTGTTTTAACTGACAGTAAATTTAATTTAAAACAATCCCGGCAATGGGGATTTTTCATTATCCTATTTGGAGCACGGGTCATTGTTTCCGTCCTCAAATACTCTAGGTTATCATAAGTTCATTCCTTTGCTTCTGGATATTCTGTCGAGAGTTAGCTAGGTGAAGGTGAGCTGTTCTGAAGATTGGAAACATGTTTGAGATCTCTGTAGGTTGAATAATGTTTGGTTCTGGTCATTCCTGGATAGTGGCTATCCAACAAGCTCAGCCTCCCATAGCAAGGCTTGTCCTATACAAAACCCATTCTACCACCGCCGATTGTCTTCTACCACCATTGTCGCCAGCTATCGTCTTCCACCACCAGTCGCAACTGCCATTTGCTCTATCCTTTACAAAACACACCGCTGCGGCCAACTATCCTCTACCACCAGCACCGCTGGCTATCGTCTTCCACCACCATTCGCCACCGTCATTTGCTCTTCCTCTTCCACCACCGGAATCTGATGTAAGAACAACACTTCAAATATATTGGCAAACAGGTTGCTCTCTCTGGGTTGTTGAACTTCATTAATGGGCTGTGGTCAAGTAGCGTTGATGAGCGAATAGTAGTGTTGACAACTAATTACAAGGTTCGTATTGACCCAGTGCTGCTAAGACCAGGACGAATGGATATGCATGTACCCATGTCCTACTGCTCGTTTAACGGTTTCAAGACACTTGCATCGAACCACTTGAATATTCAGGAGCATTACCTGTTTGAAAACATTGAGGAGCTGCTTCAGAAGGTCCAGGCATCACCAGCTGAAGTTACCTGTGAGCTAATGAAAAGTGCAGATGCCGAAGTTGCACTTCAAGGGCTTATCAGTTTCCACACTGATGCTGAGTTCATGCCATTGAAGAGAGTTCACAACTGTCTTATAATTTAACATTTAATTTAATTAATCACTTGTTTGGGCTCCATTATTTTTGGATAATTTTTTTGGTTTTCATTGGTGTTGCTGAGTGCACAATGACATTTTTTTTTCAAACGAAAGGATACACCTATTTTTAACTGAAAATTTGATGAGTTTCTTCTGATGTTTTGAAGCTATTCAATTCATATGATCTTTCCTGTCTGTTATATATATATATATATATATATATATATATATTTGTCTTGCTTATCATAAATTTTTTTTGTCACGGCTCAAGCCTTCAACTCAACGAGATCATGCATTGCTCAGACTACCACAATCATATCATGTCTAATCATATCTGTCATGCTCGGGCCTTCGACCCACTTGAGCCAGCAAAATCAAATTAGTCCCAACGATATCTGTCTCGCTCGGGTCTTCTACCCATTTGAGCCGACAAAATCAAATCATGTTTAGCGATATTTGTCTCGTTCAGGCCTTCGACTCACTTGAATCGACAAAATTAAATCATATCTAGCGATATCTGCCTCACTCGGGCCTTCGACCCACTTGGGCCGACAAATGACCAATTACATATAACAATATCTACTTCACTTGGACCTTCGACCCACTTGGATCGTCAAATGACCAATCAAACACATGTGTATAATCAAATCAATATCATGAAGATGATGGGTATTATATATGGTGGTTTGAAAACTACTATCATTAATCTAGATACCTTTAACTCGCATTTTTTCATAAATCTCTTGCCTTCATTCATAAAGAAAACATATAACATAACATTAAATTCGCATGTGCAGTATAAGGCTAAAATGCAAGTTTTCAACATGATTTCATAATAACACTTTAGCCCAATTTTTGTATTATCAACAACAATTTTTCAAAAAACTTCAATTTCTCAGTAAACCAATAACATTAGCAATGAATCATATTAATATAAAGAAAATCACTAAATTATGGCAAATAGTAAACCAAAACAACTCATTTGAAGTTTATAACAAACATTTATTTCAAAATGAAAGTCAGGATTTGGATTTTCCACTCACCATTTTGGAACTTGACCCTTAAGCCAAAAAAAGATTGAAATCCTCTAACAATGCTCTTGCTTGCCTCCCTATATACAAAATCCAATAAATCCTCCATACATAAGTCTCCTAAGTAACACCTCAATATTAAAATCATTGGATACTTGACACACCAAAAGATTAACCTAACTTCTTCTGTAACAAATCTGTCTCATAACCGAACATTGGTCGCTCTCGGATTTTTCATAAAACTTTCATTCACCTATTTAAGCCATAATTTTAATGGGGCATTCTAGAGACATATAAGCTGTTCCCATAATTTTCTCAAGTCATTTCAGAATCAATAACTATTTGAAACACAATTTTCTTTCAACTTATTTAAAACTGCCAACTATTTCTAGAATTGAGGTTACTGAGTTGTAAAATTCGTAACAATTTAAAATTTTATCGAAACCTCACGAAACTCTCCAGAATTAAGCTAGACACATATAGGATTTACGAGAATTTAAAATCATTCAATTTGGATAAGAATAGACACATCAAATCATTTGCTAAAAACACATGTTCAGCAGAAAACGAAAATTCCAAAATTCACAAGGCAACTTCAAAGATCCATATAAAATTCAATTCTTCGAGTTTTTGTCTTTTTGAGTGAAATAATTTTCAAAGACTCCTCAAGAAGTCTACAACAACATATTAGAAATTCAGCTTAAAACAAAAACCCAAAACATATAAACAATTTTCGGAATTCCAAATGGCCAGATTTTTGCATAGTGAACCTTTATATCAAAATCACATCTTTAACCTAATTTTGTTTAGGAAACACATATATGTTCTACCCACATAACATTATTGAACTCAATTTTCCCATTTTACTGTAATCTCATGTCATTACAATCAATTATAACCAACACAAATCAAATGAACTAAAACTCATCAAAGATGGAAATTTTAAGCTTTACTCACCTCCCATATGCTTGATCTTCCTCCACTCTTTCCGATCAACAGAGTTTTATTCGCTGACGGCCACTTTTCCAGCCACCTTCATCGTTCTCTACTCCTCTCTGTTGGAAAATTTTCTAATTATGGGCTAACATGAATTATGTTTTGATTTAATCAAACCAGATAAACACATAGTCCAATGAGATATTTTGATAGGCTTTGTGATCGTTTATTTGAAAGTCTTATACACTTCATATTTAATTGATCTGCGTTATGACAACTAGCATGGGCTACAAGGTTTATTAAACCCTTAATGGGGTGGCCCAATAGTCTGATATATAAATTAGCTAGGTCCCCTTTCCAAACACATGATTGATTATTCCCATTAAAATATCGTCATATTTACGCGTTCTTGGAAAGGAAGACAAGCCTCTTGATCGACAATCGATCTCTTTCAAGAATCAGAGACAATAGAATAAATCAGGTTTGTCTTATTCCTAATTTAATGTCAGTATTTTATAAACTAATATGTGGGTTATTAAGATCTGAATGCACTGATATAATATAGGTTTTTGTAACTCAACATTTGAGATTTCATGCATTAATTTATAAAACAATTTTGTGAATAATTCTTACATGTGGTATTAGAGCCGCACATATTAGTTTATAAGATCTAAATTTTGAGGTTATAAATGGGATCAAAATCAAAATTGATTTTAGAGTTCATATTGAAAATTAGGGTTCTCGAATAAATAAGGAACCCAAATTGGGGCTTTTATGTTTTGAACCAATATATGGCTTTTTTGGCCATTTGAGAGCCTTTTTCCGGCCATTGGAGGGTGGACAAGGCTGAATTTTTGCTGCTATAGTCGAAAAAGATAGATTTGGAATTTCCAGATCGTAGAGGTGAAATTATTATTTTCTTAAACATTTAGGGGGTAAAAATAATTTTATAAATATTGGGGGTGTTTCTTGATATTTATTAAATTAGGGTTAGCCAACCCAGGTCAAACGAACCCGATAAAGTCAAACTAGGTCACTGGACATGGTCAATCGGGTCAAACCGACCTGTAAAAGTCAAAGCGGGTTGTTCAATCCGATCCGACCAACACAGTTCAACCCGACCTGGTCAACGCGAGTCAACCCAACTCGGCCAAATCAGGTTGACCCATCCAATCAATTCAGGCAACTCGAAACTATCAAAATCGGGTCGACCTGACCCAGTCAAATCAGGGCATTGACTTCATGCATGGGGGAGCGTGAAAACGCGTGGTGATACATGTTGGCGCGTGGGAAACACCTGTAGGCACGTGAGTCTATATGATGGCGTATGAGAGCGCGTGGGTATGATTTCTAGCGCGTGGTGGTGCGTGATATTGTTTTTTCCAGGGCATGTTTGTGTTTTAGGCGCGTGAGAGTGTTTTCCTTTCTGAGATGATGCATATAGGACGTTAAAACACTGTTTTTTTGAACTCTTCCCTATGTCAGTGTTATTTTATGCTGTTAATTTGTCATCAATGTTGTGTATAGACATGAGGATAGTACAGATTTAGGGAAAGGATTATTGTTGACTACATTAAAATGCAATAGTTATTGAATTAAGATTGCCAGAGATAACTAAGTGTGTATCTCATGAAATCTTAATATTTAAGGCTGTTAGTGTATGGCTTAGGAGCCAATCATGTTGTCGGTTTCAGGGCATTATATCTTGTAAATATTCTTTTAAGAATAGAAGAAAAAGTTATGATTTCTCATGTATGTTTTCTGCTTCATTTAATTATTTATAATGCCTGTGAAATGTCTGAATGATACGAATCTTTAAAAGATCAAATCGTCGAAGCATTCCTTATGTAAGTAATGTTAATTGGGCAATAACATTGCATAATATGCATGTTGAATGTCTTCATTGAATATTATGTGATAGTATTAGTGTGGGTGATTATAAGAGTTATGTCACTAGGACATTAGCATGGACAAACAGTTAGTGAACTGTTTATCGAATATGGCCGATTATG